TGATGCTGCTGAATTCTCTTTACCTATGCTTTATCTTTTCTGTCAGTCATGTTATGTCTTCCCTATCCTAAACCCCGTAATGGATACGCCTCAATCATTTTTGCAAAGAACACTTAAAGCAAGTTTTTAACAAGGAACTCGAAATCAAATAGGGAAAAAAAAAAAACAAAAAAAGGCTTTTAGACATGTCAGAACCGCCTGATTCACCTCATGTCAGCCTTAACCAACTACTTCCTTTCTGGATCTCTCCCTTTCTTCCTTTCTTCTCTTTTTTCTTCAAGCCCAAGTTGCTAGAAACTCCTTCCACTTACTACTTTCAGGTGGAGCAAACCATTGCACCTTTCCTTAATTTGACCTCTCTAAATCATATTCTCTACCTAAAACTGTTAGTTTTCCTTCATCAAAGGGATATTTCCTGTGATTTTAAGGTGGTGTGGATTCCTTCTCTTCTATACCAGGAGCAAAGTTTGAGGGGTCAGAGTTAGAAAAAGCAATCAATTTGCCTACCAAACTTGAAAGGTTTAAAATGCTGCAAGGACAGGAAGGTAAAGAAAGACGTCAATACGAGTCAAACAGAAATTGCACAAAAGTCTTAAGTTCATCAATAGTATACCTCCTTATATGGTTGGTTGTTCCAACCAGGCTAGGCATGACCCTTAAAACAACAGATCCCATCTATAAACACAAGTGGATTATAAAGTGCTTGAGGGAGACAACCGTGCTTTGAGAGGATTTCTTAAAAGTGCTACCAAATTGGGCCCTCCCTGGTGGCGCAGCGGGTTAAAGCACTGCACTGAGAAGCTAAAGCCACTTCCGCATGAGTTCGATTCCCGCCTGCCCCGGAGGTGACCACATGGCGTGGCAGACCTCTCCTGACCCGCCCGCTGCTCCCCTCAGCAGTGTACTTTGTCGATCTGCCTGTTCTGTTCCCCACTCTGTCTCTGGTGAAGCCTCTCACCGCCCCTGAGCCTCTGGCCTGTACCCCAGTTCTGTATGTACAAATAAATAAATCTTAAAAAAAAAAAAAAGTGCTACCAAATTAACTTGCCCAAGAAAAGTACTATCTAAATATTTCTTTGTAATGACATATCCATTTACTGATGAGAATTACTTATAACCCCTCTCTTCACAGCTGCTTTAACAAGCACAGCGTATGAGGAATAGCAAGGGGAGTCTCTGGTCTCATGCCATTATCAGTATATTTGCTGGTCACTCCTTTTCCTTGGTAATGTTGAAAGCTGTTCCATTGTCATAGAAGATTCAGAGAAATCCTGTATGTATTCCAGAGATTTCACACCTTGTTTGGATTGAAAGTTTGTGTCTCTTCAAATTTTCTTATGCTGAAGACTTAGCCCCCAAAGTGACAGAATTTGGAGATGAAAATATGCAATGCAATTGAGTTTCGATGGAGTCCTGAAGGTGGGGCCCTTCATGATGGTGTTAGTGTTCTTAGAAGAGGAGGAAACAGAATGTTTGTTCTCCAGTTCTCTCTCTCTCTCTCTGTCTCTCTCTCTCTCTCTGTCTCTCTCTCTATATATCATATTTCCAGCTCACCATATGAAGACATACTGATAAGGCAGTCACCTACCAAGAAGGGCAAGAAGGGGCACTGACTTGAAATTGTACTCTGCCACAAACTTATCTTGGACCTTACAAACTCTAGCATTTTTTGCTGTTTAAGCCACCCAGTCCAAGGTATTTTATTATGTCAATCAAGTTGACTAAGACACGTATACATGCACACATTCTTATAACAATGTGAATTTACTTATTTTCTCATAGGAAACATAGTAATAGAAAGCAGGAATTATTATCTATTGTACTTAAAAAAATCATGTTGATTCCAACAAAATAGACTATATATTTCTAAACCAGTTCTCTATTTAGAGAAATGTTGTTTGCTTTTGGTATTCCTAAAAAAGAACAAGAACATATGTTGTCTCCAGTACTCTGTGGGAGGTAAAATATTTGTGAGTGGATTATACTGTGGCCTCACAATTTCTGTCATGAGAAGAGTAATAAAATGAGAAAAATCACATTTCTAAAAATCAACCTCAATACTTCAAAATCATCTTTGTATAGAATCAGTTTTAACTCAAGCAATATACATTTGTCCACTCCATCATAAATTAAGTTCCATTTTCAGAATAGTTTATCTTCAGCATCAAGAAGAAACAATGGAGTAAATATCTGAACTTTGTTTGTGGTGTACATAGTTTTCTTATTACAATTTTAAAAAGCAACCGGGGAGATCTTTTCCATAGTGTAGAGGTATCTTAATTTTGGCACATATGCTTCTTGATAATCTCTGAGGCTAAGTGTATAATCTGTTTCCTTCAATGGCTTCTTGCCCTAAAGACAAGCTTTCTGAACTTTTGGAATGTATGTAGGTCTTGCTAACCCCTTCCATCACTGTAAGATGTTTGTGATTCCTAATCTTCAACTTTGTGAGTCATCAATTCACAAAACAAATTTCTCCTCCTGCGGTGGCAAGCACCTTCACGCACTCAGATTAGTTCACCGTCCTCTACCACTTTTAACATCCCCAGTGATAGGACTCCTTCTTCTTGAGTTCATTTCTTCACTAGGGAGTCTTAAGACTAACTTTCTGAAAACCATTTCTTAGTCTCCAGGTATCAAGTGACTAAGTGAATAAATGAAGAAATAGGCAATTAACAGAATTAAGACATGAGTGGTATTAAAGCACAAATATGAAAAAGTGATCTATTATTTTGTATACAGTGTTTTTCAGGGTGTCCAGGTAAGTACTTAATTTCTAATGCTGCAAAAAATTATAGAAGTTTCCCAACAATTATTAATGCACCCATAATATATCAATGAGCACATGTTGCATTTTACTATTTTAAAATCTTTCAACAGTAAAAGTTCTTCCTTTCCCAAAGTGCTAAAGCAATTTGTTGGCATGACATGCAAGTCTTCATGTACTTATTCACCCGTTACTCACACAAGAGAGATAATTCAGATAAGTTTAGATCAATGGCACTAATACAAAAGTGACATCACACATAAAATATTACTCAAATGCTCTATCATTTCTGTGAATATTCAGTTACCAATGTAATTTAATTTGGAGGAATTTTCATTATTTCACATTTCTAAATAAAATGAATCATTACTATTATCTTCCATGTTTCAAATTTACATAAAATTCTATTTACTATAGTTATTATTTTGGTCCCTTCTGGTGAGAACCACAGTCTAGCTGAAGAAAAAGAACTGATAGCAAAAGTGAGCCTGCTTTTCAAAGTCAGAGCATATCTGTCCAAATTTCATCTCTCATACTCAGATTTTGTATATTTAAAAGGTATATAAATTGACACTTATTACACAATAATATAAAAAAGTCAACTACAAAAAAAGGCATAAGAGAAAGAAGTGACTAGTTCTGTACAACAAAGAGCATAATGTCACAGCCAGTCAGTCAGAGCAATGCACCTGTCAGGCCACCCATTTGAAGCCAGCATGAACTTAGCTCTTAGACTAGTCATGGGCCCAAGTATCAGTTCCTCTAGGAAGCTAGTAAATATCCACTCCTTTGCCCCATTCTCCAAGCAAGGGAAAGCTGGGTCATAGAAATACTGCATTCTAAAATGTCTCCCTCTAAAAATGTGAAGTTTCTTTTTGGTAGATGAGCAACAATGTCAATAAGACTGGGTGCCCAAAGCTATTTCCATATGAGTCCAATTGTAGGGAAATGCCTTAGTCAAAGTTTCTAGGATTGTCTCTGGAATCTTCAGTAAGGCAGAGCCCACTATCTAATTTTCGCTTCTTTGGAGCACCCTCCTCTTTGCAATGATTGTTACAAAGGAAGAAAACTATTTAATGTAGTCAACAGGAGGTCAGAGTAGGTGTTGGGTGGATATGGGGGGGATGACAGAGTGTGTGGGGCATAACATTCTAGAAGTGGAAGGAACTTTTTAGGACTTGATAGCAAAATATTTTTCAAACGCCAAACTTAAAATGAAACTATAAAAAATTATTATTAAGGACAAAAGCAGATTGAGGAAGAGCCTTACAGTATGCAAACAATTCTATTAAAATAAAAAATATGCAAACTAATAAGGTGACAAATGACTCCTAGGTAGATTCATAGACATTAACCTCACATTAGTAACTACCTCTGGGACAGGGAAACGAAGTGTGGGATGGGGTATAACATTTTAAATATTTTTCAACAAATTTATACCTCCTCAACTCAATATCCCTTAATTACTCCTTACTATACCTGTGTCTATATCTCCTAGCTCCCTCTCTCAATAATCTATCATCAAACCTGATAAACTTCTTATACTCTTCATAAAACTGACTTGAGTCTCTTCAAGAATTGTTTTACCCCAATTCAATTCATTTAATAATCCTAATAGTCATCTCTGTTTTTCTTTTCCCTTAATATTTCTTATAGAGTTTAGCAGTAAGAAAAAGCCATATTTGTATACCATGCTTACATATACTGTCTTCTTTTTTTTTTCAGAATTATCATAATATTATAGTATATTGAATGCTTATAGTCCATAACTAAGTGAACTTAAAACTGTGTCTTTTTAAAGTAACCAGCCCAAAGGAACTAGAAGTCCTCCAGGGAAATGAGGAATGAGAAAAGTGGGGCTTTCACAAAACCCACAAAATTTCAGGATAGCAATATATCTTTTAAAGAAATTGGGCCCTCCCTGGTGGCGCAGTGGGTTAAAACACAGAACTGAGAAGCTAAAGCCACTTCAGCATGAGTTCAATCCCCACCCAAAGGTGACCCACATGGCGTGGCAGACATCTCCTGACCGGCGCTCTGCTCCCCTCAGCAGTGTACCTTATCAGTCGGACTGTTCTGCTTCCCACTCTGTCTCCGGTGAATCTTCTCACCACCCCTGCACTTCTGGCCTGTACCCCAATTGTGTGTGCATAAATAAATAAATCTTTAAAAAAAAAACAGTCTTGAGCCTTTACATTAGATTCTTTTCTGTTTTTTATTAATTGTAGCACAGAGAAAGGAAGTAAAATGTTTAAAGAAATTTGTGTTCTTCACACAAGAGTGTTTTACATCAACAGGGTAGAAAAACAGATGAATAAGTTCTTCAGCTTCATTTCCCTTTCTGATTCACGGGGTTGGCTGAAAAATAAAAGGAAAAATACAAGTACTGTTTGTCAAATATCATGTGTTTCTCAAACATATTTAAATGACTCCTGGGGCTGCAAAGTCACAGAATTTGTCTAATCACTCCTCAGAGACATTTACTTAACACCTAATTCTTAACTAAGTTAATTACTGACAAAGAAATAAGACCTGTAAGAGATGGGGGGGAGGGTAGAAATCTTGCCAATTCAAACTAAAAGAAATCACTTTTTGATTACAAAACTACTTTCTTGACAGAAGGCACAATATTCAGATAATATCATTTGGGTAAAGGGTAAGTTAAAAACTAGTAATGGGATAGACATCACAGCCAGTTTAGAAAACATGAAAATAATCCATGCTAAAAAATATATGGACAGCTAGTTTTGAAAAAGAAATTTCACTCTATCTTTATTAATTCCTTCAAAATATTATAAACAAAATAGGTAAACCACACCTATGTTCAAAAATCTAAATCTTAAAGTATGCAGTAGTGTTAGAAGAAAAGAAATTCTATCAAAGCTCAGCATACTGACACACTAGAGACTTACTAGGAGATTGCTCACAGCAAGTAGAAGTTTTCATAAAGTAGATTCATCAGATTCTCCAATAAAATGACTTTTTTACTGAGCTTTTAGGTGGAGTCACATGAAGTCACTGCCATTGAGCTCTTATTTTACTTGCAAACATGCACATTCATATGATTCAGCTTCTGACCTAAGGTATCCTGGAGCTGCACCTAATGGGAATTGTTCTGTGGAATAACTCTGCCTGCTCTATCACATTAGGACTGTCAAGTACTGGCTCGAGCTTTGAATTGTGACTCTACTTCTCAGTATCTGGGTAAATGACTAACATATGCTGTGCACTGTGCCTTCAGACTCTCATCTGCAAAATGGCAATAATAATGGTACTCAACCAGGTAACTATTTTGGCAACTAAATAAGTTATAAATAAAATGTTTAAGACTGTGGTTGGAACTTTATATATGGCATTTGGCAAATGATGACTAGAGCTTTGCTATTTTAACAATAACTAATTATAATTATTATCCAGTTACCTGAGATGGTGGTAAATGTGTTGATTTTTAACCTAAGGCAGCTTGAGCGGCAGCAACAAGTTTTGGACCCTGAACACAAAGAATGATAAATGTGAGGGAAATATTAACATCACTTTAGGAGAAACAATGCATATATCTATAGCCATTTGTGATCACAAAGTAATTTCACAGGCATCATATCATTCCATTCCAGTTTAGGACTAAAATCTTTAGCAGGAAGCTCAATGAGATCCATTGCCCACAAAAGGAACAAAAAAATCCCTTTAGGTAGTAGGTGAAATAATAAATATTTCACCTATTAAAACATGAAATTCCCCACTAACCTATAAAGTCAAATACTCGGATTCAACCAAACCAACAATTTTCACAATTTCACGAAAACAATGAATGTTCTAATTTAATAATGATGCCTTTACCAAAAGATGTCGGGCATTAAAAGTATTTCTGTTTAAATTCATAAACATCATAACAGAAAAACTATGAGTAACATTTAATAATATGTTCTAGCACCTCAGGAAATTAAAAAAAAATAATAAGTCATTTTGTTAAACAATTGTAAGTGGAACAAGATTCCTTTCCCACACGTTCGAAGTGTCTTTCTCATATATAACCCCCTAAGCTCTAGCCTGATCCAATGCAACAACAAAGGAATCTGATATATTAAAATAAAAACATCTCCAGCACCTCCGTAGAGAAGCAGGTCTCTTTGTCATCAGATGCACAGCATTTCTCTATGAAGCCTCCAAAGTCTCCCATAACAGTTTTCAGTTGGTCTCCTGTTGCCTGGGGCTTGTGTTTCAACAGCTCAACAAGTGCGCTGCATAAAATTAAAGCAGATAAAAAAAGTTACTGATACAGAAAGAAGTGGACCGGTAAAGACAATTATGGTCTTGTTTAAGATGACTTGGAGCCAGGCAACTTTGGGATTTACGACTGTAAGTCCCAATATTCTCATTTGTATACTGAGGACAATGAAATCCACCTTTATAGAGTTGGTGGAAGGAACAAATGAGATCATCACTGGAAACTGCTCAACATCTATCGTGTCAAAAAATCAATAAACTTTTCAATAAATGTATGGAAGTGATTATTTCATTGCATTTATGCACTTTAGATTTAGAAGTTAACAGGATATTAAATTTGTAGCTAATAAGCTGAAACTGATCCTTTAAAATTGAATTACCTTAGACTCTATTTTAAAAGTTTCTGATCTCAGAATGGTTTATATTTGGTCTTTGACATATGCCCCCATTCAAAGTTAATAGTGGGGAAGCCAAGGGAAATAAAAGTATCAAGACTCATAGGACTTGATGCTTCTCTTTCATTAATGTCTGCAGAGATTATAGTGCTAGAGAGAGAGTTATAGGCATGAAGGGTTTTGTAATATTTACTTTTAAGTCTATAACCATCATGAGAACCCAACAAAGACATTAGCAACTTTACATTGCTAAGTTTTAGGCAGTTCTAGGTCCTTGTTTCAGCAATAAGGAGTCAAGCCTCAGAACTCACAATGATCCAAGTTCCATTACTAAAAGACGTCTTAGGCATTTGCCTCACCTATAGGTGGCCACAGAATAAATTTAAAATTACCATTCATCCCTAAAAACAAATTCTCATATGAATTATATGAGCTAATTTACTATCTGCATAATTGCTCAGCTAATTGATCAGCATTTTTTAATTGGACCTGGCCTAAAATATAATTCTACTATACCTTATATCCACAAGATTATTCTGAGTAATTTGTAGAAAAAATTATAATAATTTTTTCCCAAGAAATCAAAAAGCTACCTATTTTATTCTCAACACTTATGGCTTAGTAAGGACAATTTTCAAATACTCTCTTTAAGGAATATAATCATTACTCCAGGAAATTGGCTCATTTCAGTTTCCAGTTCTCACTACCCAGACTACACTCATGTAGTAGTGAAATATTCCTTACGATTGTTTCTTGATTTGTTTCTCAGCTTCGGGAAGTGTGCAGATATCAGCATGGAAGGTGAATGTTTCAGCATTAAATTCCTTGGGTTTATATGTGTCATCAAGTTGCAGAGCAGAGAAGCATGGGCGTCTGTTCACCAAGGACTCAGTGCAGCATTTGGTAACTTTCTCACTCACTGGTGTCTTCTCATGCAGCACACACAACCGGTTCAAGACCACAGAGAGCTAAAGAACAGGTAAAGGGCAGAAGTTCAAAAGAAGCACAATTTAAACTTTCCATGAATTCCTACTTTCCAATAAGCAAAAAAAGTATTATATTTTAATTAACATCATTATATCTGAAGTTGATTTGAGGCCATGTTATGCTTGTTTTTACATCTACAAAATAAAAGGGGCTTTACAAATCTTTTCTCTTTTAAATATATCTACATTTTAAGAATAATTCACTTGAGAAAATAACTGATTTAAACAATTTGAGATGAGTCCTGAGCTATGTGTGGGAAATGGGAAAGAAATAGTCTTACACTGATACATTAAAGAACGGACCCCAAAGAAAGTTAAAAAATAACAGGATGAAACATTGAAAATTCTTAGAATTTTTCAATACAGCTTTATACCGTTGGGATATTATCTAAATCCTCACTGTGATAATCATAGTAAGTGACCCAGTCCTGGCTGCCACTGTCCCCCACACCCCCTACACACAAATGTTAGCCTACCCCACTTCTCTGTAAGAACTCTGTCAATATCTAAAAGCAAAATTTCATCACTATCAATGATGCTATATTTGGAAAGACTCACGAAGTCCTCTGCACAGGCCATTCTGTTGGACTCAGGACGCGTACAACATTTGGTGCCCACTTTTCCCAGGCTTCTTGAGACTTCCACAATACTTGGAGTTGACACTTGTGGCATTTTCTTGGTGTAACGAACGATGAGCCTGTAACAAAGAAGTCCATGTGTTTCAACCAGGCATGAAATTCTTTTTCGACATAGTCAAAGCAGAGAACACTTAGTCAAAATCTACAAAAAAAGTAGTGGGGTTCTACAGACCTTCTCCTGGCACGTATAGCTTTGAATTCCATTGTGCTTTGTAATCTTAGGAAAATGACTTACCTTTTTATTATTCTGTAACATTGATATATTCATTAAATGTATCTTTCAACAAATCCTACTGAGAACTTAATGTATATCAACACTATAAATTTAAAAGCTGTAGATGAATTTTCTCATATAGAAGAGGGGAAGAAAGCCCTCCCTGGTGGTATAACAGACTAAAGCTTAGCACTACGAAGCTGGCTGCAGCCACTTTAGTACAAGTTCAATACCTGGCCAGAGCGGGAACACACATAGCGGGCTGCAGACCTCTCCAGTCTTGCCCGCTGCTCCCCTCAGCAGTGTACTCATCAACCTGCCTGTTATGCTCCCCTCTCTGTCTCTGGTGAATCCTCTCACTGCCCCTGCACCTGTAGTTGGTACCCCAGTTATGTATGCATAAATAAATGAATCTTTAAAAAAATAGAAGGGGGAAGAAATATACCCAATTCAAAAGGGACCAGGAAAGAATAAATGAAATAAATAAAGAAGGCAATATGTCTGGCATAGCATGTAATAATCATGTGCAAGAGTCAATGTCTTCATTGTTGTTATTCATCTGGCATGAATAGCTAGAAGAGCATTAATGTGTATGTACTGATTTTAAAAAAAAAATTGTTTACTGAATGGTGTCTTCTTTCTTGTCCTTGCCTTCTTAGATAAGGCTCTATTAGATCAGGACATCAGTCTGTCAATTGCTATATAACTGCTTGAGCTACTCTACTCAAGGTCTACTATTTTTTGCTTTATAAATCACTGCTTCATTTAGTTCACCCATAAGCTATTCTTTGAACATAACCTCAAGGGATATCCTTATTTTTTACATCCTAAAATTTGGCATTTTTCTTCACATCCTCAAATGGCCACTTTAACTGTACTCAAATATAGGTTGCTCCATCCTATCAATTTATTTTATGTTCTTTTCTCTAGTCTTTCTTGACAGAGAAATACAAAAATATAGTCTTTTGTGATTAAAGTTCCTGTAATAGGTGACCTATGCAATAAGTCTTACAGAGTTCCAAATTGATCAAGAAAAATATTAAATAATGAACAAAAATACATACGCATTCTGGAAGCCATACTCTCCAAGGTTTTCAAAAAGTGCACAGTTTTCTTTGACTAAAGTCTGAGGCTCATCCACAAGAGGTTTCAGCTCATCAAACTGAAAATACATATTTAAAAAAATTGTGTTTACAGTAGTTTTCCTGAGGGCCAAATACAGGTTATTTGCATAATTCTAGGTAATTCTAGAATAAGACACTCCCTCCTTTTCTCCGTGTAATATAAATAGACCTTAGATGCCAAATCTATCACAGTATATCTGAACTGTCTATTTTATTAGCAAGACTCTACTGTGTAACTGATTAAGAAGCTCCAGGGTCAGGGGCACAATGGCTAGTGTTTGAGTCAGGCCACTGATGTATTTTCAAGCTGTACAAACTCCCACTTCCAAGAATTCTCAGCTCTAAAAAGGAGATGTGTATGGTACTCACCTCAAAGAAGTGTTCTATGAACTACATGGGCTAGTGTTATTATATTAGTGTTTGATTGAGGAAATGAAGCTTATAGCCTGGTCAAGAAGACAGATAAAAATGACTATCCTACTCCACATTCCAAGGAGTTATGCCTGCTTTGGATTCTAAATAAATGTAATCATAAAGTTCAGAAAAGCAAAAATGAATCTAGACAATCTAAAATTTAACCATTCTACTTGAGATTATTTTTCTTTTGATGTTTAAGAGCACTCAATTGAAAACATTTCAAGAAAAGATCAAGATTGCCCTATACAACCTTATACATTTTTCTTCTTTGTTATTAGAATCATCAGTCAAAGATTACATTTTTTCCCTTCAAGAACCTACCACTTTTGAATAGCATGAATGAGGGTCATCAGTGGCACAGCACTTCTCCAGTGTGGCTTCATATCCCTTGGCAATTCTCAAAAGCATCAAGACAGAGTACTCAGGATGCCTTCTTGAGTATTCATACAAAAACCTAATTCCAGAGAAAATAAAACAGATTTACTTGTTCAAATAACCAAAAAAAAAAAAAAAAAGAAATAACATAATGAACTTCAAAAGTAACTCATGAAGGCCTCAATTTGACTGAACCTCAGGGAGTGAATCATAAGGACTAACAACTTGATATTCACACACCCAGGGAAGAAAATCCTAAATTGTTAAAAAAAAAAAAAACTTAACAAGGATGTACAATAATAACACTTTATTCTATTAATATATATATATATATAGATGTATATATTTTTTAAATAAAGACTTGGGTTCAGAGTTAAAGCTATTTAGCTACCTGCCTTAAAATCCTGGTTCTGCCAGTTATCTTACTATTTAACCTTAAGCAATTTGTTAAAAATAACAGATTCTTAGTTTCCTCCTCTGTAGTATAGAGATGATAATAATTACTTCACAAGGTGAGTTGTGAGAAATACATGACATAACCCATGCAGAGTACAATCTCTGACACATATTAAATATTTGATAAATGACACCTGTCATTATATGTGTATCTTGTTTGATTTGGATTATACCTCAAAAAGGTTGTGACTGGTAGGTAGGTAGATAGGTAGAGTCAAACTTTTCTTGTCTATGTAAGTGAAATCTTGAAGGGTGCAAAAATTTATGAAATATTATTTAGTGCACATTTATACAATTGCAGTTCGCAATAAAAATGCAAAGTTTGGCCCTCCCTGGTGGCGCAGCGGGTTAAAGCACTGCATTGAGAAGCTAAAGCCACTTCGGCATGAGTTCGATTCCCGCCTGCCCCGGAGGTGACCACATGGCGCGGCAGACCTCTACTGACCCGCCAGCTGCTCCCCTCAGCAGTGTACGTCGTCAATCTGCCTGTTCTGTTCCCTACTCTGTCTCTGGTGAAACCTCTCACCGCCCCTGAGCCTCTGGCCTGTACCCCAGTTCTGTATGTACAAATAAATAAATCTTTAAAAAAAAAATGCAAAGTTTATCACCACACTTACTATATATATTCATTTACTTTATCATTTAATTGTATGCAGCCTTGACATACAAGAACCTTATGGTCTTTTCAAACAAATATAAAACACCTGATAGCAGACCCCAAGCTTCATTTTATACTTCTTTTCTGCCATCAGGTGGATGGATAAATAGATAAACAGCCAGATAGAACTCTTCTCTATTAACTAATTTTTAAACTAAGTTAAAAAAAAAAAACACTTGAAGAGCTGTGGGGTGGAAAGATAAAGAATCATTGCAGATTACATGAAATTGTAGCAACTCCAAAGGAAAGCCTAGTATATCTTCCCAAATTCTGAAATTCTGTAAAGGCTCTGAAAATACAGTTTCTTATTCACTTACGTGCCCAGGAAGACATCTTTTGCCTCTTGATAGTTTTTGCAAACCTCCTTATCATCAACAAAGTCAACGGCAATTGAGGGCAGGTCACCAGGCACTTCATCTTTTTCAAGTTCATAAATGCAGTGGGATTTTTCTATAATTGGCTTCCCACAGCATTCCTTCAGTTTAGAAGAGATTGTGTCCTGATTTTCACAGATGTACTTGGCAAGTGCTTCCTATAACAAAATTGATGGAAATTGTTCTATATAAATTGGCAATGGTATACTTTCTCCCCAGATTTTTATTCTATTGGAAGAACAAAACATGTTCATGATAGTTTAAGACCATACACACAAAAGGAACGCACTTCTCAAAAGCATATTCTCAGTCTGTGCTCCTCAATCTGGAGACTCATCTAGAACTACTAAAACATATCCACTTGATTAAAAAAATAGCTAGTCAGTAACAGAAGCACATTTCAGTGATAGATTTTATATTTAAGGTAAGGATTGAAGTTTTAAGTTGAAACAGTGCTATGTGTATTCTTAACACAAAGTTACGTGTATGTTTATGCTAGTTATCTGTATTTAGTGAACACAAAGTTCATTGAGAATATAGAGAGGGAAAGCACATAATTTCCAGTATCCTTCAAATACTTGTCTTTCTCTAGCTGTACCTGCTTTACAAAAAATTTTAGAACTCTCCCTTGTAGCTCCCTACTTTAGTTTAACCTTTTATCTCAGTTAGAATATCGTTAAAAGGGGTTACAAATTAGTAAATATGTTTATCACATCCTTTAGTGAATAACATAGCCAGGTTTAATAAATGAATAAATAAATAAAAGAATCACAAGATAGGGAAAGGGTTAAGGGTTAAGCAGACTAGGCATAAAAAGCGATCTCAACCCATTGGGCATTGTCATGGATGAGAAGCGAATTCATCTTACCAAGTATGCACTTAAACTACCAAAGAACAAACTGAGGAATCTTTACCCTGTCATCAGCACATTCAAGCAGGTCACCTTCGCAGCATTCCTTGTTGACTTTGGTAAGATCTCCCACTATCTTGGAAATCTCTGCGAAGTCAGCCTTGGGAAATTTCTGGCTCAGGCGGCTTACTGACCTAAGATGAAAATTCCCCCATCAAAATATTATTAACATGTCATATTTTAAGTGAAAGCATGAGGAAAATTCTACTTAAAACAAAAATGTTGAACAGAGAAACATATGGAATACTTTAAAATTATTAATTCATTAGTTCTTATTTTAAAGCTAATTCTGAAACTACTGTCTTAGGGCAAAATATTTTCTTAAAGCAGAATTATCCACTTTAAAATGGATCGCCATATAACCATTTTAGATCTATGTCCTGCCATTCATAAAAGCAGAGGTCAAAGAGAGATTATATAAAATAAAGGCTTCAGTCTGGAATCCAGGTCTCACTTCCAGACCTGATTTTATCACTTATATTATCAGTGTGACCTTAAGCAAGTTACTTAGCCCTTGGGGGTTCCAGCTGGTACAGGGGTCACAGCAGCATACCAAATTGAAAGACTTGTAAAGATTAAATCAGATAATACACATAAAAGCATTTTATAAACTGAAAAATGCCATGTGTGCTGTGATTTTCTTTTTTTCAATCAACAAAAAGACATTGTTCCTGAATTCTAAAGGTTTCTGAAAAGATAATTTTGTAACTTTCACAGAATTAGGTAGTTTTGATTAAACATACTTTTATCAAGATTTTGATCTAGCACAAGTCCTAAGATCTATGACAAAATGTAAAAACCTAATACCCACATACTTTGTGAAATTGTAGAGTCATCTAAATTTGGTAAAAGATAATTTCTTTTCCCAAGCCAATCATAGACTATTTAACTGTGTATTGTTTATACTGGAATTGCTTGCTTATTGTTTTTGTTTTTTTTTTTGGTGGTATATATGATACGGATGACAAGAAAAAATTGTTCAATTTACAGTTTCTACAGAGCTTGCAAAATGTCTATTTTTTTCTTTTTTTATCACCTCCTCAAATTGATTTATTATTGATTAGCAAGAGAGGATGGGGTTGCGGGAAAAGTTTCCTTGGCTCAAATGTTTAAGGATGCTCCTAGAACTATCTAAGTAAAATGAAAGCAGAGGTCAGGTAAAAAGAAGAGACTAAGAACAGAGTTGGAGAAATGAGAAATGACCTGAATGGTTGAATTTGTCAGATTATAAAAAGAAAAGCAGATACTTTATAACATCACAGAATGGAGTATGGAAATATAAAATAAAGACTCTAGCTCTATAAAACTAGTGAACTATTAGAAAAAGACTCCTAATCTTTATATGTGAACAGGAGTTTAAATATCAGTCCTAGAAGGAAAAAAATGATTACCCCCTACATTCTTTGACTGATTAGACAAAATGTAGAAAATGATGACAAGTTATCATTGATGCTCTGATTTACCTCTAGTATATTTCTACCTTTAAGATAACCAAAATGATGTATGTGAAAGCCTGTGTAAAATGCCATATGAATGTATAAATTATTGAATGTTAATTGAATCAGCACCCTTTATGTTGCTAGAAAAATGCAAGCAAAGTTTTAAAATACCATGCTTTGAAAGCTCTTTCTCCAAACTTTTGGATACTGGCACACTTGAATCTCTGTTTAGCAGATGAAGTCAGTACAACTTCCTTCAATTCATCAATCTGCAAAAAGAATAATTTGGAAAATTAGGGGGGGCCGGAATTCTATGTGAAATACCCCCTTGTACATTTAGATGAGACTAACCAAATTAAATTTTAAAGACAGAAATTAAATTGCCAGGTTGTCACTACTAGAAATTGGTGATTTCACTATGTAGGGAGAAAAAAAAAATTAGTCTGATCTTAGTGAAGGCCCTAGGAAGTCAAGAATTGGTATGGAGGCATTGGTGGTGGGGGCTGGGGAGCATGGGGTGGGAAAGAAACTGAAAAGTAGAGGGACAGACTACACCAACATTACAGGAAATATTACTTTGCCGATTTCTTAATTTTCATTTCAAATCCTCCTCCACCAACTCTCAGAAGACCAATAAAATATCTAGAAAAGAGAATTCAATCCCTAAAAAATATTTATGTGATGAACCAGGCTTCTGAATGCAAGGTAAATTCTCCACTTTGAATTCCGCCCAATTAAAAAAAAAAAAAGATAAACCAAAACCATGGCCCTATTGTTGTTCTGCAATTTTACAAATGAGTTTCTCTATTTCACTATAGGTATGAGCACCATAAAAAGCAGCAGAATATTAACATGATTCCTCCTATAGCTCACTTTGGCAAGTCTGAAAGAGAGAGGAATGAAGAGACCAGAAGCTTTCAAAGAGAATCAGATCATTGGATGGGAAAAGAGTAATGAAGATTTTTTTGAACATGAGAAGTTTATATCAGAAACTCAGGTTTCCTAAATCTAATTAGAAGATGTCCAAAATCTGAGATTTGATTATGAATTGGCACTTCTAGACTTTTTCTGAAGTATACCTTTGGCGTCAGGCAGGCACCTTTATCATCAGCCTGGCAGCATTCTGCCAAAATTTGTCTGTATTTCTTAGCATAGTAAAGGAGTTCAGGAGCATAAAAGTAAGGGTGTCTTCTGGCAACTTCATATAAGTAACTAAATTTTTAAAAAGAAAAACAGTATTTTAGAACAATTGCAATCAACATTCTCTCAAGAGCTTCTAAAACCCAAAATTCCTAATTACTAAATAAACTCCATTTGGACATGGTGACCTTTATTAATGTTTAGGTTAGTGAAAGGTTAAGTTTATGTATATGAATTATAAAATATTACATATAAAAATATACTTGCACACACAAACAATGTGCAATTGACTAAAATGAAATAATTTGGAGAATAATTAAATACATAGTTTCATAATATTTTAGAATGTGTAAATCTCAACATTTTTATACAGATTGCATAGTTTCAGTTCAAAACCTTTTACCTAAGTTTATATCATGTAGATTTGTAATATAAATTTTACTTCTTTGAAAACTCTTATTAGAACCAAAGCTTCTAAGCCTTAATGTTGAACATATTTTTTGTTATAGTTATTTTAGCGAGCCTTGACCTACTCCATAATTTTTAATTTTGCAGCCTCAAATTCCAGAAACTTACTGTGCGGCAAACTTCTTTTCGTTTTCTTGGAAGGCAGAGCACAATGCATCAGGGGCTGGTCGTGTAAAGCGAGGCAATCCTGGGTTGTCATCTTTGTGTTGCAGGAAGCACTCATGTCTCCCAGGCTCTTCTTTTTCACAGCAGTCAGCCAACTCACCATACTTTTCACGAACAGATGCAACTGTACACAGTTTCTCTCCAAAAAGAGTTTGCTAAATGGAAGATAACAAACTTTTAAATTTTTACTGTATTATTTTTTATTGAAATAATTTTTGTACAACAGCATATCTATGAAAATAAATCAAACTTCAAGTTTTGAATACATATCCTATAACCCAGTGGACAATGTTGGAGGATCCTCGGTGTAGTGAACATGGGTGTGGGCCAGTAACATATATCTGATGGATATGAACCTGTATGACTAAATTATATACCACTTAAACCAATGTCACCTTAATATAAATAAATAAATATTTTTAAAGAAATATAGATACAAAAGAAATGCTTCTAAAATTGTGAGTATAAGTAAAATGTTGTTATCATAGATGAAATAAAGGCAAAACCCACCTTTGGGCATTGCTTACAAATGTGGTCAGTATTAAAAAAAATGAAAGTGGCATCTTTTTAATGGTCAGTATTACTTTAAAAAAGAATAGATTCACAATCAAATGGTACTTACAAGTGGTTTGTCACAATTTGCAGCTGATTCATCAGCAACACATGTCTTTGCAAACTCAGTTACGTCAGTCACTAATTTTAGTTGATCTTCAAATGGGCCCTTCTGGAGATACTGAGAAAAGGCAACCAACACCCTAAAACAAAGGACATACGAAAGTGTAACATAATACAATTGTTTAGAAATGAATTCATAAATTACTTTCATGTAAAATTTTATATAAAGTAGGTTTCTATGCTAGCAAGCAAATTATACATTTGTATATTCTATATTTTATACTTATAGTTGTTATCTAATAGTCTAATCACATCAGCTATTTTATGAGAACTAACCAGGATTTCCTGGCTTTCTAAGAAAGAGGATATGTATTTCCAGCATGTTTAAACATAAGTGTGCATGACAGTAGATGCACACATTAAAAAAAAAGACATTTTAAATAGAGCTAATTGTTATGACTGAAGGTATTGTATATGCTCTAGATGATTTAAAACCAAAGGCAAAAACCACACTTCATTTGATCAGAATGTGGGAAGAGATTTAACTTTAAAAAAGAAGATATTTTCTCATTTTTACTAGGTTAAAAATTATCAAAATTCTCTCAAGAAATGATAGATCTACTTACTAGGGGAAAAAGTTAATAAGTGATGTCCAAAAGGAAACTTATACTAAAATATTTTCAGCATGCAGATTGTATAAGAGTTCCAAAGTATGGTATATTTATATACATAATGGAATATTATTTAACTGTTAAAAAAGATGGAATCTGCCATTTGCAACAATATGAATGAACCCAGAGGCATTATGTGTAAGAAGTCAGCTGAAAAAAAATAAGTATCAGGCAATTTCACCCATGTGGGTTCTTAAAGAAACAAAACAATTAACTAAAACAAAAATAAGCATTTAACATAAGATCAAATTAGTAGTTATACAACAGCAAGTAGAAAGGGTAGTAGTTAATATGAGTAAAAGGAGTTAATTTTATGATAAAACATAATGCAGTCCATATAGATGATAATTTATGATGAAATATATACCTGAAACTTATATAATGTTACAAACCAATGTTACTTCAATAAAATTTTTTTAGTTCCAGAGCTACTGTACAATATAGTGGCCATTAGTTTATGATAATATAGGCTTAAATAAAAAAGTAAACAAAATTTAAATTGTTATTCTTATTGCATTTGTCATATCTAAATTACTCAATAGTAATTTATGAGGCCAGTAGCTACCATATTAGACAGCACTGATTTACAGCACTGTGGTGCTATGCAGAAAATTCTGTCGACAGTCGTCCTGCTCTAGAATTGAATCTGCTGATAGAATATAGGCACTTCAGTATAATCAATGGCATTAAAAACAGTAAATTTAACTTTTCAATATTTTAACTCACAGGCCTTTGAAAGCTTCTTCTCCCAAATCATTAAACCGATGAGCAATCTCACTTTTGTCTGGGGAGGCAGGAAGATGTTGGAGAAGGAAAAACAAACAAACAAACAAAAGGTTATTTAAAGGAAACAACTATTTATGGTATTACTTTTTATGTTTTACTCCATCTGACTTATGTATTAATCTTGTTCCAAATACCAAACTCTGATTTCTACAGAAAATCTTAGGATGATAGTCAACTATTTCTGGTGCATTTAAACAGGAGTTATTCAATCACCAATGATACTATTTGAAAAATCATAAATATTTATAGCTTTACATACAAACTTGATGAGACCTAAGTCTCTTGTGTCTATTAATAGTTACTGAGAGGACAGTCTAAAATGAAAAATGTAATTATAAACTCTGTAAGATTAACAATACAAGCTTGGGTATTTTTTTATAAATCATGATATAGTGGATAGACTTTGGGAATTTGGATTATGAATTCTGTTTTCAGCTATATTCTGTGAAATTTAAATCACACTAAATTCCTAGATGTGCAAAAGTAAATTATAGTTACTAAATAATTATCAATATTTCATTTACCTATGGTTTTAGAAATACATTAGTAAGTATTAATAGAGGAATATATTAATACATATTAATAAATAAATAACTTCATAAGGATTCACAAATACAAAATATCATTGCAGTATGGAAACTTACTTCTTTAAAGATGCAGGGTTTACTGAAAATTTTACTAGTAAACTTAAATAAAAATTGAACAACAGAAAAATAGAATTCTTACGTGCATCTCGACGAAACACACCCCGGGAATAGGCAGAGCTGAAGAGGAAGAGGAGGGAAATAAAGGTTACCCACTTCATGGTGCCAAAGGCTTGTGAAGTGGATAGAAGAGAAAAGGTGGGATGAATAGAGGAAAATCGGTACTAATATACTTCTCTAACCAATAATTATAGATTATTAACTAGACTCATCTTTGAATTTCATTGGTTCCCAACTGATTACAAAATTCATAATATTCTTGCCAAAAAAACGTTTGACTAAATCTGTTGCGTATATTTGCCATCTGGAACTGTGTTCTCTACAAGATCTTGTCAATTCATGAAAGTTATGTAAAACATCTTATGAAATTTTACATAAGAGTTTAAACAATTTGTCCCATTTTCTGTGATTAACTATTTGAACATTTAAGTTTTCAATATTTGCAAAAATTTAACTAAGTAAGTGACTTAGCTTGGAGATAAGGCATGCTTGAAGAGCTAATAATGTGTGTTATAATGTTAATGTATCTATTTTTAACTCCAAGTATTTTTTTTATCAAATACTGATGATTTTATGCAACACACAGTGTTTCTCTCTCTCTAACTCTCTCTGTGTGTGTGTGTGTGTGTGTGTGTGTGTGTGTGTGTCCTCTTTTCATTCTTTCTGAAACAGTTCTGGGTGAAAAGCTGATATTGCATCACACGCAAACTAGGGAAAAGTCCCAGCAAAAATATGGCAATGGGCATTCAGGAGTTTTACATTTCCATTCCAGTTATGTCCATTTATATGATTCAGACCCTGTGACAGGAAATCCCCATGCAATGTGGGTAGATCTCATGGGATTTTCCACGCATGAGACATGGGGGTAAAAATACATACAATTGGTGGCAATGATGACCTTTGTCATCTTAATACACATAGGATGTGATTGCACCTCTAGCAGTTAAAAATTCTAGAACTTTTTCACCAGGCATCATATTCTTTTCATTCCTGTTTCACACTTTTTTCCTTTTTAATAAAAGCAAAAATATTTTTATAAGCATGTGATCTTTTTCCCTTGTCTAATAAATGGAAAGATCATATACTTTTCTTTAATATTATTTTAAATTTCAAATAAATTTACCATTATGTCTAAAAAACAAAAGAGCTCATTTTTCAGAAATAATTTTTCAGATAACCTTTCCTACTTTTCCCTCTTAATTTTCTGATTTCTGATCTCTACCTCTAAAAGGTGGTTCACATACTCTTTCTCTCTCTCTCTCTCCCTTTACTCTTCTGCTCTAAAGATGAAGAATTACAGATTTCTTCTTCTTTTCTTTTCTTGTAAAAAAAAGTTCTTAAAAAAAAAAGATCGATTTATTTATGCATACAGAATTGGGGTATAGGCTAGACGTGCAGGGGCAGTGAGAGGATTCACCAAACAGAGTGGGGAACAGAACAGGCAGATTGACAAAGTACACTGCTGAGGGAAGCAGAGGGACAGACAGAAGAAGGAGAGGTCTGCTGTGCCCTGTGGATCGAATCCGCACTGAAACACCTGCGGCTAGGCTAGTTTGCAGTGCTGAGTCCTTACCGGTTGCGCCAGCAGGGAGGGCCGAAGAATTACAGATTTTATCTAGCAAGATAATTGATTATCTCTGAAACTACGGAATAATTACTATCAAGCCAGTCATTTCACCTAGTTAAATAAGAAGTCAACCAACATTGTCAATTACATTGCCCTATAGCAAATATAAGGATATATACCGAAGAGAAGCAATATTTTTCCTGTTCAGTCCTATGATGAAATAATCTTTTTTATGATCTTATTTTATTTCATTTTCAGGAATGGATGCTAATTAATCAAGTACAGAAGAGGAAGTGGTAGCAGATGACCATGATGATGATGATGAAGCTCTAGATAGATACATGATAGAGATAAAAGAATTGTAGACAAAGTTTATTTTAAGTGGCACAAGGAAAAACTGAAAAACAGAACAATAGTTCTCTCTCTCTTTTTTTTCAGCCCACAGATGAACAGAAATTAAGGAGTAGCTTCCTGTGGAATTATTTCCATTTGAGAAAACAACTTTTAAGCCCAAATACCTATATTAGAAAAGAAAAAATGGAAACTATTCTAACTTTTTAACTTTATAGGTAGATAAGTAATTCATTTTTAGATAAATTATATCAGTTATTCTTTTATCTTCTGAGAAGGAATAGACTTTTTTCATTTGAATTATGTCAAACCCTCATCTTTACTTTCTAAGTTCCAGGGCAGATTTGATAGAGATGCAATTCTTATCAATGGATATACTTCCGTTACTAAATTAAAAACCAAGAATTTTTCATGCATATATATAATTTGTGCATATTTTTTTATTTAACAAATGAAACAATAATATTGTTGTCTCTATTTTTCACTATAGCATGACATTTTAAATCAACATTTAATGTCAACAGTGTCAACAGCTAAGAAAATCATGATACTAGAAATTAAGTGGTTTTCCTATATTCAATGAAGGTCTTCTAGCTTTCAAGTGTAAAACTGAAAATATCTAAATATTTCCTTACATTATCAATAAGATGTGTATACTTATTAAAAATTAGTAGTTGTTAGAGAAAGTAAAATATTTCTTTTTTAACACTATCTACATGCTTAAATGTGGATTCCCAAAGTAAAAATTCCTACATTTTTCTTCTATTAATTATGCATATACATTCCATAATGAGAGGAATAAAAACCATGTACTTGTTGATTATTTCTAAATATCCAATTCTGGAAGCTTTTAAGTGCTTACATTTAGTTAGACATCAAAGGTCTCTGGCAAATATTTAAACCAAGAATTAGAAGCATTTCTATAGACTCTGGTTTCTAAGTCTTGCATAAAATGTCCAAAGATTTTAGATTGGATATTCATTCATTAAAGTTATGTAAATTAGACTCAGAATTTAATGTCTTGAAGGCAAATGACTGTTATTGATGAGTCCAAATTTCTCTCTGTTACTACATGGATAATTGGAACCAAAAAAAAAAAAATGCACGTCAAGAATGATGGTATTAAAAAGCAAACATTGTTCTATTTATTTAAGAATACCAGAGCTTTTACTGACAGTGAATAATCCAGAAATAAGTAACTTCATCTAGTCTTTCATTCATATTCAAAACATATTTAGTGCTCACTAAATGCCAAGTATGAGCTAGATTATGAGGAGACAGAAGATTGGTAAGCTACAGTCCCTGACATCAAGGTGTCTACTATCTAATAGGAAGATAGTCATAGAGAAAGATAATTATAAAGCAAAATTATAAATTGCTGGGCATGCAGAAAACAAGGTGGAGTGACAGGGGAATCACACATAAGTAAGATCTGTGGGCTCTAATGTCTATGCAATCCAACAGTTTGTAAAGTTTCATATTTGCATTTTCTGGGTTTGGGTTCATTTCTGCTTGTGAAGAACTTTGTATGAAGAAATGGAATGAGTAGGCACAGAACTGAGAGACATTAGGAGAGTATGAAAATGTATGATTTCTAAATGTTTGATAAAAGCCCAAAATGCAGAAAATAAAGAATGAGTCCCAGATTTACAGAGACAATAGAATTCTTGCATAAATAGGAAGGAAAAGGACAGGCTGGCAGCCAGAAAAGAAAAGTTTCCAGTTGTGTGGCTTTCCAGGCCAAAGTAAAGGTGAAATTGGTCATTTTATTATTTAAAACCCCAAAGAATGATATTACATATATAGAAAGCTATAAAACTTTCATGGAAAAATAGTTTATCTAAGATGATTGACAAAGTCCCTAGGCCATCTAAATACGTAATGATAAAACTGCTCCTATGCCCTCCCTTGTGGTGCAATGGGTTAAAGCACAACACTAAGAAGCTAAAGCCACTTCAGCATGAGTTCGGTCCCCAACCCAGAGGTGACCCATATGGAACGGCAGACTTCTCCTGACCAGCCCTCTGCTCCCCTCAGCAGTGTACTTCATCGATCTTCCTGTTCTGCTCTCCACTCTCTCTCTGGTGAATCCTCTCACCACCCCTGCACCTCTGGCTTGTAACCCAGTTCTGTATGCATAATAAATAAATCTTAATTCAGATTACACTTAACCATACCTGTTTCTATATGTCTGAGAGGACATTCCTTGGAAAATGACCCTTAAATTAAGATATCTTAAAAAATGGCAATGAAGAGGGAAGAAAATACCCTATCAGATACAGGTAATAGAATGTGCAATTGCTTGAGGCAAGAAAGAGCATGAGAGAAACAGACAGGCTAGACAGAGAGGAGGGGGAAATGCAATGTGAAAAGAATTATGAGATAGATAACTTTCTGTGTTATCTTAACTACAGTATTTTTGCTTTATATTCTAAAAACAATGAGAAATTGAATGGTTTTATTAGCCCAATAATGTAATCAGAGTCATGCTTCAGAAAAATTACTCAGGTTGCAGTGTGAGAAAGAGTTTAGACAGGGGAAGAGTAAACATAGGAAGACCAGTCAGACAGCAAATGCAATAACACTAACAACATGTTCTGAGATACTGACCAATGTGCAGTGAGAATGGTGGATATATATGGGGAGAGGTGAGCAGAGATATTTTGGAGCAGACTGATGTTGGACCCAAGCAAGTTACCCCCTTCTCCAAACTCCATGTTTTAGCAGGTTTCCTCTGGTCTCTTCCATCTGTGCTTTGCCCTTTAGGGCAAAGAGGTACACAAAACCAACAGTATGGGCCTACCAATATCTGTCTTCCTTTTGTTTTAAACCAGGATTTGGGCACCCTGACCCTGAAATCCTCTCTCCCAACAGCTCTTGATCTCGCTTCTACAGTCTGATCAGGCCTCCTACATGATTACATGTTCCCATAGGAGGACCAAGCCATTGATGTATTTACTCCTAGATCTGAAAAGTGGCCAAAAGGCAGCTTCTTGGAAAGGTATGGAACAAATTGGGGTATAAGAGTTGGTTTTTACATGCATTCACAGATGAGGATCCTTCATCATACAGGTGAAGCCAGGGTGGGCAGAAGAGAAAGGTAGGCTAAGGGTAGGGGCTGGTTATCCCTATCACAAACTCCAAGGACATAAAATTAGCAGGGTTTGATGGGTTGGAAATGAATGGTAAGCTAGAAGTGTCATGATTTTTAGCTTTCTGCT